CAAATAGCTTGAATTGAAGGACACATGTTTTTGTCAATCGTGGCTACACTGGAATGGGGTTAAGTTGAGAATCAAAAACATGTAGCGCTACGGGTGTCGTGGTCGGAGAGCCATTGTTTGGTTCGTGCGTTTTTATGTTTTTCAACGAGAAGTTCGGTTTGCGAATGGTTAATTTGATTGTGTAAATAGTTGGTGTGTGATGTGAAATGAGTGTGCCATTTTTTTTTCGATGTGTGCAATGTGCGGATATTTTATTCGGTTATCATTAACTGACACACAATTTGTAAATGCTGCTGTATTTTATTGAGAAACTTGCTCGAAGTTGTGGAACAAGATGGAGGAGTCAAGTAATCATGTTTAGTATTAGAACAAATGATACGAATGACACTGGCGAATCAAATAAATGAGATAATCGTATTGTGCAACGTAAGTGTTGTTCTATAGATTTTTCTCAAATCGTTGCCATGTACGTCATCGGATTGTGGTGTCACTAAATTGCTTGAAATATTTCTTTGAGGGTTATAGTAGATCTTTTTAACATATATTGAAATGCAATGTCCTTGATTCACTCGAATTCAGAAAAACAAAATTTTAGTGAATTTTTTTGGTGTAAACAATGGAATTATAATAATTGTTCGATAAACACAAGCATGTTGTTTACTTTTTGATGGAATTGTAGTCTGCTCTATCTAGTAAGACTTCTTGATCACTTTGGCTCAGTTAGCATACTGACATGTGTATTATCTTCTGAATTTTGTGTGTGTATATTTAGAAAATTACGGCAGTTCCTTTCTTTGCACATTATTCTATATTGTAGCTTTGCTAATTTTTGTGTTGATTGGATAACAATTTTCTTGTAGATTAACAGATTTTGTAAAGCAAGCTGGTGGAGCTACTCAAAACATAAAATAATTCAATTCTTCATTAATTATTAATCAAATGAGTAGTTTCTTGATTTTAAGGTGTTTTTCGGGTTAGAGTGCTTGGAAAAAAGTGTGGTCTGTTAGAGCCTTTTGCTTCAGATCAAAAAGGAAAATAATTGATATACTTAACTATAAATCTTTCAAGATACATTATGTTAAAAACATAGTCCTGAACTTCTTCTCAAGAACCAACACATTAAATTATTTTCCAGTAACTTATTTTGTGTTAGCACTTCCATTTCTCTTGGCATTTTAAAAATTGTATTAAAAAATATCACTCACAAAGACTTGATGCAATCAGGTTTTGAAGGTAGAAAAATTTTAAGAACATCTCATGAAAAAAACAAAAATAAAAAGAAGATTATGATACGCGCTTGGGTCTAGGAATTGTAAAAAAGACTGTTAAAATTGAAAAACAATTCTGGACTCAGGTATTTCATACTTGTTTAATATTTCAATTTTATAATTCAAAGCTTGAATTTCAATTGTGAGAATAAGGTCACTATATATCTTTTAGCTATAATCATGAAATAAAGACGTGACCACATATTCTTTACAATTATAATATTCCAGTTTTTAATTTTCAGCAAATTAGAGCGCACAGAAACATTCACAATTTACACAAATAACTTAAATTAAAAGAAAGACCGGAGCATTAACACTGAGAACAAAATTCAACAATGAATTTGTGGTGTGCTCTGACAAAGCCACATTAGGACTTGTGTTCCACATGTCCAAATAAAAAAAGTGGTTGTTACGAAAAAAAATTTTGTCATTAAAATGAGATAAAAATTAAAGAATCATTCATGTTATATAAATGTACCCCATAACAGATATGAGAAGTTATTGGTACGAATAAGATTTCGCAAAGGGAAGTAGAATAAAACACATATCCCCTCTAAAAACAACTCTCAACCTAAAAAAGGAAGATTTTGAGATAAATGCACCAACAGCTTCAGTTTTTAATTCTTTATATTTTAAGAAATAAAATACACTGTAACTGTAATGCAGTAAATGCCACTAGATGGACGTTGACAGTTCCTATTAATTAGCATTGTATGTAGATGAAAAAGTCCTCAAAATGGCATTCTCTATTTATGACAATATTTAGATGACGTGCGCAATAGAAAATGCAAAGTATCTATCCAAAGTTCTAAGAAATAATATAAATAATACAAGAAAAACCTCACACACAAAATATAAAAGTATTGGTAACCATAAAAGCGGGACAGTATGGCATTCCAAACCAGAATTGAAGATAATTTAATAACAATGAAATTATAATGAAAATTAGATAAATTAGAATTTAAATAATTTCAATAATTATTTTCTAAGTCAGGCAGTGAAAATAAAAGGTGAAATGGGGGCTCTTAAATGATGCAACTTGCCATCATAATGCCTAGACAGTAGAAGCTATAGAAATTGGAAAGTTTGATTGACACAGGGGATAATATTAAGGCAGAGATAAAGTTATGACAGCAATGCTGAAAAAATGCAAACCTTCAGAAGTTAAAAGAAGATTAAAATTAAAATTAAATTTGCTGTAAGCTGATAACAACTTTATTAGTAAGAACAAAGATCTAATATAATTAAAAGAAAATTTAATATCACAAGTTTACTAAAGAAAATATAATATTTGTGTTAATTGTGTTTGGATTGTGATAACAGTGGTAAGTATTTGTGTAAACAATCAATACATAATTACAAAGAATAAATGTTTGACATTTTTAGAGACGAAAATCTAACAATTAAATGAAGTTTCCTTATAGAATCCAAAATCTTTCCCAATTTTCTGTGAAATCTTTTCACAGTAACCGACAGTTAAAATGTGTATAACCATGTACAATGGAATTATTCTCCCACATTTTCAGTATTGTGTAGAAATAAAGGGGAAAACATATAAGAAACATGAGTTATAACTAAAGACCTGAACTTTAGAAACTATAAAATCTCTGAAAGGTAAAAAATGGTATTTTAAACTGCAAAAATGAGGTAAAGAGGTTAAACAAAATCCATTCTTATTAATAATAACAAATTTTATGATTAAGTTTAACATAACTATATAATATGGATTCCATTAGTTTTTATAAAAATAAGACAAAAAACTAGCATGAAGAGACAATATTTTAAGTTTCCAAACATTTTTAATTACTTTAAACAACAAAGACATGTTATGAGTATTAACTTTTCCGAGATTAAAATAAGTGTCCTCTCCCAGACAGTTTCTCTTAACTTTGACAGCGGTTATTGGAAAAATCTAAATCTTTTAGAGGGTAGAGGATCCATTTCTGCTGAAACTGGAATTTTTGGAGTATCTTTAAAAAATTTTTGTAAAATTAGAATTTTTGGCAAACCACTCTTACATGTTTTAAAATCCTTTTTCCATGGAAATAATACACCTTTTCAGTGATTATTAGAGGTGCCCCTTTTTGTAAGTCAAGTGGTGACAGGAACTGAAATTGTTGTTTTGGCAGCCCGTTAAAACAAGCAACTAAATTGCTGACAAGAATATTTTTTTCTTATCTTAATATCCTTTGCCATCAATGAGAAATGTTATGAGCAAAGAAATAAATGAAATCTGCCTTTTTGACTTCAAGGATTAGCAAATATTTCATTATCTTTTATTGTCACTGCTTACTTGCAAATATTCATCTTTGACATTTGTATAAAAAATAATAGATAATTTATATGACTCAAAGATATTTTGCCTAAATTACAGTCTCCAGTGTTAATACTGCAAAAAAGGGATCTTCGAAGTGTTCAGTCTAAATAATAATCAATCATATAGGACTTCTTGTAAAAAATTAAAACTGCTGTGTTGCTTCTTTCAGAGTAATTGTACTAAAAAAGAAACTAATTTACCTGTACATAAAACATGCAATTATATTATAATACATGAGGATATGTAAATCATCCAAAAAGTATTCTGCTAAATCCCTTTTGAACAAGGATCAGGAAGGAACAAAATCAGAATGCCTTACAATTATAACAATAGACTTGCAACACACATTAAGAAATTAATGAATTCATGTTTTTGAAAATCCCTTTCAAAATTTCCTCAACCTGCTTTCTAATGAAATAGGATAACAAGAGCTTAATAAAAATAGTTTTTTTGTGGCTGATTATTATTAAAATGATTTTATATATTATTGTTTTGTTTTTATGATGGTCGTAAAAATTGTGTAATACTTATTACTCTGTCAGCTAATAAGCATTGATATGATTATTCGTGTAGTTCTTTCATTAATAGTTAGCATTGTAGAACATCTTTTTCATGTCACAAGTATCCTAACAGAATTTTAAATTTCAATGTTAATTAATAAATCACATCTTGCAAAGTAAATTAAAAGTTAGTGAACAATACTTATGTAAAAAACTTAACCTTTATGAGAAAAGGTGTATTAATGTAAGTTTCAGGAATCCATTTTTAATACTTCAAGGCACTACGAGCACCAATGTGTGAACACTATTTAAACCTTGAATTAACTCAAAATATCACTGGTTAAAAGTTATTCTGACCCAGGGACTGCTGGTCAATCTCTAAATTTTTGTAACTGTAGATTAAAATGAAATATTGCATGCAATTTGAAGGAAATCTGTCTATAACATTCTCTTAAAATACGACTGGCCAATACTGTTGTTTGACTCTACAAACTGCCAGAAGGAACCATGCAAAAATTGTCATTTCATTCTCAAATTGTATTCCAATTCATCAGGCTGACCATTTATATTTTATTTGTGTTGTTGAAAATGAAGAACATTTATTTAAAGGGCTTTGGTATTTTTAATTCTATAGTGAAGAGAAATTTAATTAATTTGAATATCTTAGTTTAGTCTTCTTGTAGTTAATAAATAATATTATTTTAATAAGTTAATAATGTTTTGTAATCTTTTGTTTCTTGGTAGATCGTTCTTGTGTTAAGACCTCGAATATGTCTTTTGGAGATCTTCAAAATGATGACAGAATTGTGGAAGCTGCAAAGGTAAATAATATTTTATGTCCAAAGAATACTGAATTAATGTTATTTAATTATCATTCCTTTGTGGTTGTTAAATAATTTCTTCATTATTTTGCAGACATTTGATGTTCCAATAGTATTCTCTGAGACTGGAAGTGAATTTCTAAATGATGGATCTTGTGATACGATATTCGTTACCAGGGAATTTGGTGGTCCTGTAATTTGATGCTATCCATCAATCAGAACAAAGGTTCTTAAAAAATCCAATTTCTAAAACTATTTATTAATATTTTTTAACTACTGTCTTTGGTGATCATCATGTTTTTTTAGAAATACTTTTTGTGTCAATGGTGAAACCTCTTAAATATGACAAAAAGTATCATATTTTCTGAATATTAGTCGACTGCATATAAAATGAAATTTTGAAGAGCCTCCTGAAAATTTTTTAAAATATTGAAATTACTTATTATAATTTACGTCAAAATAGAATTTCAAATAGGCTAATTGACTACAAAAGTGTCTTGTTGAAGAGAATGTTAAATCCTACTGTTACTATTTTCTTATTCTTAAAATTATTATAATCATGATTTTTGCCACCATCTTCACTCACATCATGCTTCTTTCTTTTGATCTCTCATATGTTACCCTCCATTTTAGGCCTGTTAAATGTTGTGTGTGTGTTGAATTTGTGTTTTGTCTTTTCATTTGATGCTACGTGAAAACATTCCCTTCTGTATTACCGAATTTTCTTCCTATCCCAACCTTCCTCCAACAAAGTGTTTCTCAGCAAGATGACGTAGAAAACATATTGTCTTATAGAGGAGGAGACTGTGCATATTTTTCTATCTTTTTCTTTTTCTTGTATGGAACCACTCACCTTGTATTTCATGAGTTTTCATAGTGAATATGTTACGAAGAAATGTTATGTAATATGGTTTCTATAGTGTATCTGTGTTTCATTTTTTCTTACAAGTTATTTAATTCTGTTTTAAAATTGGATTCTTTGTAATAATTGTGCCCTAATGTGTCAACGTTTTTCTGTTGTGTGTGTCCAAGATGCAATGCAATTCCTTTCCCATGCCCAGAAATTCTTGACTAATGGTCTGTGGTACATTTCTGGAATATTGATATTATGGAGAATAAGTACATTTTGACATAAATGTCAAAAACTGGGACGTACTGAAAATCAGTGCAGCTTATTGAAGGCCCAAAAAAAGTATGCTCAGAAATATCTATAATTTAATAGATAATTATTGAAATCATATTTGTCAGCACTTGTTCTCAGTATTTCCAAGAATCTTGTTTTGCAATTCTCTTTTGTATTTGTCAAATCCCCTCTTCTGTTTTATTGGTGTATTTTGTTCATTTTTGCATTTTTATTTTCAGTTAAAACCTTAGGGCAAATTTGATAAGGCAAAACTAGTAGGAAGTGAAGGAACATTTTTTTGGTTTTTGTTTAAAACAGGCAAGACGAGAGCAGTCAGACAAAAAAACGCACAGACGCTCTCTCGCTCACCACACACACTCTCGCGCGCGCGCGCACTCTCTCTCGCGCGCACCAACTCTCTGCGCGCACACACACTCTCTTCTCGCGCGCACCACTCTCTCGCGCGCACACACTCTCTCTTCGCGCGCACACACTCTCTCTCTCGCGCACACACTCTCTCTCTCGCGCACACACTCTCTCTCTCGCGCACACACTCTCTCTCTCTCTCGCACACACTCTCTCTCTCTCGCGCGCACACACACTCTCTCTCTCGCGCGCGCACACACCTCTCTCTCTCTGCGCGCAACACTCATCATCTCTCTCGCCACACTACTCTCGCTTCTCTCCGCACACACCTCTCTCTTCTCGTCGCGCGCACACACTCTCTTCTCTCTCGCCCGCGCGCACACACTCTCTCTCTCGCGCGCGCGCACACACCTCCTCGTCTCGCGCGCGCGCACACACTCTCCTCGCGCGCACACACTCTCTCTCGCGCGCACACACTCTCTCGCGCGCGCACACACTCCTCGCGCGCGGCGCACACACTCTGCGCGCAGCGCACAACTCTCGGCGCTGCGCCTACACTCTCGCGCGCGCGCACACACTCTCCATCTCTCTCTCGCTCGCTCGCGCGCGCGCGCACACACTATCCTCTCGCGCGCTACACTCTCTCGCGCACACACTCTCTCTCGGCGCAGTCCTCCGGCGCGCACAGTCTCTCGTGCGCACAGTCTCTCGCGCGCACACTCTCGCGCGCATCTCCTCTCGGCGCACACACTTCTCGCGCGCACACACTCTCTCTCGCGCGCACACACTCTCTCGTCGCACACACTCTCTCTCGCGCCGCGGCCCACCACTCTCTCGCGCGCGCACACACTCTCGCGCGCACACTCTTCTCTCTCCGCGCGCACACACTCTCTCTCTCGGCGCACACACTCTCTCGCGCGCGCACACACTCTCTCGCGCGCACACACTCTCTCTCTCTCGCTCGCTCGCGGCGCGCGCGCACACACTATCTCTCGCGGCGCACACTCCTCGCGCCCAGCTCTCTCTCGCGCGCACATATCTTCTCGACGCGCACACTCTCTCGGCGGCGCCACTCTCTCTGCGCGCACACACTCTTCCGGCGCACGACACTCTTCTCGCGGCACACACTCTCTC